GCTTAAAAATGTTGTTTTCAAATTTTTACCATAACCAAAACACATCAAACGCACAGAAACGTTCGAACATTTGATTCTGCATAGTCTGTTCAACCCATACCAGCTAGGGGCCCGCTCCGTCCCCGGGGCGTCTAATAAGTGAAAGATTGATAGGCATCTTCGAATTCAGAAATCATATGGAACTCACGAAAACTCTTCTTTGCTACTTAAGTATGATATATCTGATGCATAAGGGTTGCCATCATGATTAAGAATTCCATTTTACATTGAGCAAAAGTAAAATTATGTCAAAAGTTGTGTTTGCATTTATTTCTGATAACGTAAAATACAACACTAAATTAATTGCAGCACTCATTGCAGATACCAGCATTATAGTATGTACGTTTCTTTTTTGCACTATAATGCACTATAATGCTCTAAGTCTCAAGTAGTGAAGTCAAGTAATGTTTTGTGACGTTAACGCAAACAAAGTAGTTATAAATTGAATACGAATATATATATATTTAAGCAAGCATTGCATTTTAAAGGTATGGTTGCCATTATAATAACTATATTATTGTAGCAACATTGTTGGTGATTGAAGCATCGTGTAATTACAGTTGAGTATTTGGGTAGCACTGGTTTGGTGTTCGCCATTATGACAGCAACAGAGGTTCTTGGACCGTGCTCCGTGTACACGCGTCACGATTATTCTGTGCGGTAATTACCATCATAGTTGTCCAGTAAGTTTATGACTAATTTAAATGCGATGGTCGTCCTGTACTAGAAGGAGTGTGTTTGAATTTTACGTATTTGACGCCTCTTGACGACCGCCGCCCTTCAATGTGGAACGAATGCTTCTGTGTATCCTAACGGCAAATACGGTTTTCGCACAAATCATGAAAATAGTCTATATAGTGATGTGACTCTGATCTGCTTTTGCAATCCCGCCCTCTCCCGCCAGTTTCGGAGCAGTCGATTGAGGGCGCAATATTTTGATGAAAGATGTGTGTTTTCTTATTTATGACGTTTAACCGTGGCGAGTATTACTCAAATTATTACATTTTTCCTTATATGTATTGTACAAATAAACAGCAATATGTTCTTTTTTTCTTAAAAATCTTCAAGCAATAAAGTTATGAATTTATTATTTTTTTGTTAAATTATCATTCAGAATTATTTTATGAATGATGTTTTGTTGTGTGCTGACAGGCTGTATTCCTTAAACGTAAATGGCCGCCGAGATCTTGTAGAAAGCGGGAGAGCCGCGAGACTTGATTTTTCCACCGATATTGCTCTATTCTCTCCCGTAATCGCACGCACTGTCAACTTATTTATATAAACATGGTATTTGGAACAGTGGACGAACAAACGATGTATTTTACATACTTTGTATACGTCGTATGAAATCCACTCGACACAGTGAAACAACTCAGGTGCTTTAAAATAGAACATATATGTCAACAATTTGGCGGGAAATGATGGATAGTCATTTTTGTTTATTTATTCCCACATCACACATTTTTTCCCATTTTAGCAACCGACAATCTTAGTATAATACATTTCAAGTTTATAATTGGCAGAACACTTGGATATAATCTGCATAACCTTTCGGAATCACGCGGGAGGTACGATCTCGCGCGTTTGTGCATACGACGGATAACCCGCCTTAGAGAATTCGAGAAATAATTATCAAGGTTTTGTTATAAAATTGCTCTGAAAAAAATTTGCTCGTTCAATGGAAAATTCTAAAAAGTAGAGCGATTCTGACAGAAACTTACAAAAGAAAAATTCCATGAGTTATATAACGGGTTATGGCGTCTTTCTTTATTTGCAGGGAGTGGAATCTTTTTTTCAATAATAAACTGTTTTGTTTGAACTCAGGGGGCGCTACAACTATGATCGACCAACATCGACATTCAAGGCGAAGACATGTTAACAGAATACGGTGATATAAAACACAGATGATTAACAGACCTTCGTTAGGGCGCAGTATTTGATAGTGACATTGACACCAGCTGACATAAATTCTCTTCTCAGTTATTGAAAACAGTGCATGGTTAATCTGTGACCGCAAATCGACTCGACAGTCCGAATTTTACTGGCACTATGGTATACGACTGAAACTGATGATTTGACAAGTTACAGGGGAAAGGTATTGCTCATTATCAATATATATTTATATATTAACGTGTTTGTATTGGGTTAACCAATGTGTATGAATCGACGTACACAATCGTGTGTGTGTGTTTTTGTTCAATGTATGACGCTCGTTTGAAATGTGATAGGAACTTTGATACACCGTGACGGCCATATGTCAATCTGCCCACATATCGATCAACTTATGGTATTTGAACGATATAATAATACCATTAAAAAAAGCATTCCGTGTGTACTTCGATTTCCGATAGCTTTTTAGACAACCAATCGTTATATTCCAAAGATAAAACAGCAGCAGTCCCAGTCGGAATTGTCGTTATTCGAAAATAGGACATTTAAACAATACTCGATTTCTCGACGAGCGTATTAATACATCACATGCCCGTCTGTTAGTGGCCGAAGGTCATCCTATTTTAAATTTGTTTGATGTAAATTTACTTTCCTTTCTCAAGTAGTGTCGTTAAATGGAAATGGTTCTGATGGTATGGATATTTGAATAATGAATCGGTTGTCAACCAAATGTTGATTAGGATATATTTCATGGTGATATTCATAAAAAAAATAATGACGCAACATCAGCTCCAATCTGTGTATTTGTTAAGGATTGCCAAGGTCAACCTTGTGTCACGTTTCACAAAATATATGTTTTCCTTATTTATTTATTTATTTATTTATTTATTTATTTATTTATTTATTTATTCTAATATGTCGATCAATACGCGTAGTTATTGGG